ACATAATAAATCATTTCTGTATATTATACTTGTACATATAAAAAGCAATTAAAGTACACATACATGCAATCATACATAATGCAAGATTATTGTATTACTTTGAGAACATGCATAGTATGTTTCAGAATTTGAATGTGAATTTATTGAATAAGTGAAACAAAGAAAAGAAAAGAAATTATATGTCTTCATTAAATATGAACTTCATAGAACATATATTTTGCCACTATACAAAATACGACACAAAGAAGAAATTATATACACAAAAAAAAAGAAAAGAAAAAAAAATCTACATCTAGTAAAAATTATCTTAATCAATATTTAGATATTAATAGATAGATAAATTAAATTATTTAACAAACAAGCAAATAGATATATTAAACAAAAATTATATTAACCAAATAAACAGTAATGATCATATTTATATATTATTATAATATAAATGCAGAAAAATAAAAAATTATATAGTTTGTAATTGTAATAAGGAAATGTTATATAAATTGACAATTTGACATTAAATAAATATAAAAAAAACATTTTCTTTACTGTGAGGCTGATGATGATATAGAATGAATCAAAAAATTATTTGCAAAAATAAAGATTTAATACAGACAGGAAGAAAATGAAGATATAAAGGCTTTCTCCTTTTTTCGTGTTTAAAAGTTTATAACTAAGCCTTTAAATAAATAAAACTATAAAATGGAACAACATATAGAACTTACGATTTACAGTTATGAAATACGAAGTGTAACAGTTCTTTGTATTAATGTAGGTCATAAAATTATTGGCATACGCACTGAATTCTATAAATATTATTTGATTTATTTAATTTTAACGTTCTTATACGTATAGAAAACTTACATTTTATTACTAAAACTGTGGATGAATTGATATCTTAAAATATCGTAAAGAATAATTTAAAATAACAATTTTAAACATTTTAATGTTTTTCACTTACCATACCATCATGATAAATTTTATTATTAATAAAGCCGTCTTAAAAAGTAAATCGGTGAAAATGAGAAAAACATTGCAAAAAGTTATGTCTAAAAGAGTTAGAATATATAAGATTATTCAAGAAAAAAATTCGTAGTCAAAGAAAAAGAATATTCCATGAAATATTCATTATGACAAAATTATTGACAATATTAAGTTTTGCGAAGCCAAGTAATAATTTTGTGAATTAAGCAAAAAATTTCGAAATTAATCGGGAAATTATTACATTTCATTTTTAATAACAATGAATCATAAATTTGTTACTGTTTTACAATTTCGTAACTCAAAATATAAATTACATGTCTGTTAAATAAAAAATGAGAAAATTTACTTTATTCCCTTTTTGTTTTCTACATCTTACATAATATTCTGATTTATTGCATAAAAGTGAATTCAGCAAAAATCATACGTGTTACAAAAATCCCCACTCTCTCATATCAACGATAAAATATAAATTTAATGAAATATTAAATCATTAAATTTGAAAATAAGTAAAATAACTTATTTGTCGCAAAATCGTCCTTTTTTTTCTTTTTACTGTCGTAAAGTTTAAATTTTCTAAATCATTCTTAACACTAGTTAGTCTTTATCCCCCAAAAAATGTTGTTTCTTCTTTTCATCATTCAGGTTTAAGCAACTCTGGCTGAAAGTTATATGATATTACATTATACCAGTTTATGAAGAAGATTATACATTGTTTCACAATTGTAGGTTACATTCTTTTGAGAAACGGTATAAATACGAACAGACTTTGCTATAGGTTCGCAAAGTAAACATTCTTAGTATAGAAACATTTTATTTTTTAAAATGCTTAAACAATCTTCAAGTATGGAAGCACTTTCAAATAATTATATAAAATCCAAATTTTTGAATAATTAATCATTTTTAAAGATTTTTTGTTAACTTAAAAAATTCAAAACCGAATGATTCCGAAACTGCATTTAAACGAAAAGAAATACCTGTATAATTATGGGACGCATTAAAAAAACAATGCGATACAAATGCCATTCATAATGTCGACCTAACACTGTCTCGAACACTGAAAAAATATGTAGAAAATCGCAGAATTGAAAAAGCCAAATGTGCATTGAAATATAATCGAGTTGATCAATATCTAAGCTACTATATATACGTATGAGCTATCCTATATAGAAAAAAAAAAACTATAAAATAATGAAAGAAACCAGCATTATATCAGTTCAATCGTGCTTCATTCAACTCTTTGAGAGTATACCAACGTCTTAATGTAAATTCCAAAAGTCTACGCTTTCATAATTGTTTTACTGAGATTATGCAAAGCTTGGTTAACCCTCTGCACTATAACGAATCTAACTTGTCACGAGTTCTTCGCATTAAATTTCACGATTATAAATCATATTATAGATCAAATGTTATAATTTTCAAAAGTATGATACATTACGAAATGTAATACATAAATATTTTAAACTCGCTTTTAACAATTTAGTATGGAGAAGAACTCTGTAAAGTTGCGATTAAAAATATACGGGAGATTTGTCGAATAATAAGTAGTATAAAAAGATTATTATAATAAATAACTAAAAAGCATTATCTAAAGACGTAACAGTTAGAAAGGATGTTAGCAACGTATGCGAAATCGACGCGAAAGAGACGAAACACATAACGCGTTACCCAATGGTTTTTGATGGCGCAAGGATACAATCGATTTGCAAAAAAGAAAAGGCCTTATGAAACTTCTGACCATGGGGGTTTTCATCACACATCGTACCGAACTCTTCGTACACGGATGCCATATTTAGAAGGCTGTCGTGCTCGAGTGAACACGCGCACCACCTCTTTCACTGCGAAACCTTTCGTGCAGACGCGTTTCATCCCCATTAATCCTAAGGTTTCATTGTCACTTATCTACTTTTACGTCTGTACCGTACCAAAACGTTCTGTTATCTGAACAAACGAATCGTGTAACGAGATTCAAGCAAACCAAGTATCCTTGATTTTTAATTCCCCCTTTCCTGGTCTTTTTTTCTTTTCTTCTTTTTTTACGTGGGGCAATTCTTCAGTCTTCTGAAGAAGGGGAAGGGGTTATGTTGGGGTTGTATCTTCGTTTGCACTAGGGGAGCACTGGGAACTCGGAACAGACAGCCGGTTGGTTCTTAACCCCTTGCAGTATGAAAATCACATGTTGGCGTGAGAAATGAACAAATAGAATTATTTTGCTTCAATATTTCATGTGTAGTTATTTTTAATATAGTTTCCGTCTCTTATTCGTTATTTAAGTTATGGTACACAACAAACGGTGTTTACGAGCCTACAGTGCAAAAGATTAATTATAATTGCATTGTAAATGCATTATATGTGCATTGTAAAATTATTTAGTTTTAATTAGCCGCTATATACATCATTCGCGATAAAATTAGTATATTTTTAGGATTTATACAAATTTTGCGCGTATTAAAATATGTGAAATATCATTTTAGTCTCATGCGAATTTAATTTAATTAACTCACATCGAGTTAGACTGTTTATTGTACGATGAGGTGAATAAGTTTAAGCTACATAATGCGTTTTGGTTGTATAACAAATGCTACGTTTTTTTAAATATTATTTTCCTCTTTCATTTTTGGAACCAATATCTAACAAAAAATTTTTTGCAAAATTTAGTGAATTAGAAATTGAATCAATTTGCGAGAATAAGGAACATAAAATAACGTAAAAATTAAAAATAAAATTAGACTTTTTGTAAATAATCTTTGTTTATTCATACAGAAAAATTTTATGTTTATATATGATTTTATATGACAAAATAATTTTATGCGTTATCAAACAATTAAATAAATGTTATTTAAAATTGAAGTATTGCAAAATGATATATCGCGAAGATTTTATTTGTGCAATAAATTAAAATAAACCATAAGATTAAATATAAAAGATATAACTCATAAATATAGTAAATAAACAAGAAATTGCATTTATACAGAAAATCAATTTAATGTGTAGGTACTTATACATATGGTTCTTTTACTAGTGTAGAATTCATAATAGATGAAAGTAGCCTTATATAATTCGTAGAATTTCTTTTAACACAGACTACGATTTTTAATTTGAAAAAACAATTGCTAAATAAAATTGAAAATAATTTAATTACATAAAAATAAATGATATCAAATCACCAAAAAAAATTGGTTTTGTCACATATAAATAAATAGAAGAATCCATTAATATTATGTTTAAATTTTTATATAATTATTTTCAAATAGAATTATATGCATTTATATACAGAGACCGAAAAAACAATTATTTTCAAGATTTAATTAGAAAAAATCATTGATAACGTCAATTTTTATTGATATACGATACAATCATCATTAAATAAAGGAGAAAATTCCAATTTTCCTTCAACGTTTGGACTACGAATAACCGGTGAAAATGATTCCAATTCACTTTGGTTATGAGTAATTATTATAGATGGCGGAAATTATATTTGATTGCAAATAATAATTATAGATGACGAAAATTGATTTTGATTACGAATAACCATAATCATAACAGCAGCCAGGAACACTTTTCCTCGTTACTTTCAGCCAATGTCAATTTTCATTAGTATTATGAATAATTAATATCAAGTAACGACACGATATTAATTATAAAACATGCTGAGTAATAAAATATACCATATCTTGATATTTGTATCGTAACAGACCAACCAAACCAGCAACCAAAGTAAAATCCTGGACACGATAATGATTTTTTATAATCAAAAACAATTCCCATTGTTTATAATTATTAACAACCAAAAATCAGTCCCATCATAATGCTTATTGATAATGAAAGAAAAATTCTAATCGTTCATAGTGGCAGTTAGTAATTCAAGTTATTTAAAGAAAAATATAATTGTTACGTTATATCTTTCTTCATTTCGATTATATCGGTTACGATCTTACATATCATTATATTACACCCACTATTTTAATATAGAAAAGAACTTTAATTTGGATAAAAACTAGCAACTTACAATTAGGAATACTTACGAATTTTGAAGTTGAATTTTAAAATAAGGTGTCTTGTGGGGCATAAAGAAACTTTCAAAAGTGCAGCAATCGAAGAAACAATTAACGGATCGAAAAACGTTGTCGAAAAAACTAAGGAACTGTGTATTTGCCGTATTAAATTAGTTTTGGAACATGACAAGATTCACCCGGACGTTCCGCGCGTTTTCTAGATCACCAGCAACAAGCGCGCACGCACACGTGTTCTCCGCACAACACGATGCTGAACGGAAGACAACTCTCCTTCTCTCCACCACTCCTGGTATTTTCATGCGCGTGGATATTTACTCTCACCACACACTATTATCGTTCCAGCCGCCGTGAAGGCTCGGTGTGCACTGAGCGGTACTACGCGACTGTACCCCAATACCCTACCAACTCATTCCTTTCCCCCACCGCCACTCTTCCCCACTGCTCAACCGTCAATTTAATACTTTGTTCAAATTCGTCCCTTTATCTATGCTTACGATTCGATCAACGGATTTACGTTTGACCGTCCACGCATATGTACTAAATTCTCTTTGTCAATTCTATTTGTTAACCAAAAATAAAATAAAAATAAATAAAACAAAGAACAATTATATTTCGATAGAAATTAATTTAAAATAAAATAAAATTTATTGAAAGAAGTACTACAAAATTAATGATCGGTCCTGTGATTCGAGGTTAAGTTGTCTATTATATTAAAAAAGTGTTAATGCAATTATGTTTTGTAATTTAACCACTTTTCTTCTGAAGTTATTAAATTTTAATATAAATTGGATTGAGTTACTTTTTTAATATATGTAACTAATTTGAAATTTTAATTGCATGTTTATGATACAGTTATTTCATTTCTTGATATTTTATTTTTCTTTGTAGTTCATAAAATAATTTCCTAATTAATTACATAAATTATACAAGTATATCATCAAAACACTGTTTCTATTGAGCACTTGTTTTAAGGACATTGTCAATGTAAGAACATAATTTATACTTTATTTAATATGTACGTAATGTTACTAAATAACCATATGATAGTTCATAAGAAAATCAAAAATATCGTATGAAGCACTGTAACTAGTCTCCTTAGAGGTTTATTGACACCTGTCTGTTGACCACTAAATATGTACAAGATTACTAGATATGTAAGTATGTAAACAAAGTTTAATCCATAAATGTGAATCATAATATTTGAAAATTGTCAACTTTATTTATACATATTATAGATCAGTTATGATCTTATAATGAATTATTGTTCACTGCATTTAATTGGACAACTGTCTTTTTAAGAAACTAGTTATAATGCTAGCGAATGTTTCTGCTACAGTATATTAATATATGTGTATATAAATTCTGAAAGAAACATTTCAAATCGTTACATTTATCTCTGCTATAACAGTAAGGAACTATCAGAAATGGATATTGACAGAGCAAATTACATATTTAGCCTTTATGATAATCTTTTTACTTTTTTAACAAAACTTGCTGCTCATTTTTTCAAAACATGTGTCATGTTTCACCACAATTTTTACCAAATTATTCTACGAGAACATTGTTTTTTTAGAAAGTACACATAACGGAGTAAGTACGTTAATAACCATATACGTAGATAATAAGATATAATGGTTGTTTTCTGCTTTTACCCTCAAATGATACCATCAAATAATTTTCTTAATAATATTTTTTTCATAACTCTAACATTCGTCACTTTATCACTAATGTTTTGAAAAATATTTAATAAAGCACGATTAATGTGTCTCACCTCTTTGATATTTATTATTATATCTTAATTAACGTTGATAACAGAAGAAAAAGAATCGAGGAGATAGAACTTACAATTATGTAATCCATGTACATCAGCCAACCATTATTATATTAATTAATATAATACAATTTATTATATTTAATATCATTTATGCTTTTTCAATACACTATATTATTTTTAATATTATTTATATCTTTTTAATACAACATATTATATTTATTGTTATTTACATAATTTGATATTATTGGGACTATGGGTTTTAACTGTCAAATAACCACGATATATACATATATATATTTTCTATTAAAGTATTTTATTACTCAAGGAAGTAAGGAAGTCTTTTATTACTCACGGTTCGCCTAAACCCTCAATTCTTATCGAATGTCTATATAAACATTCGTTTTCGGTATATAAACATACCTTCTTTTAATTTACTAATTATAGTTTTTCTATACAGCTAAACTTATCTTTTCAACAGATATTAACTAATAAAATTTTATTGAACAAGTACATAATGTTTCTAAATAACCATATGACTATTGCATATATGTACATATATAGTGAGACACAAAAGTTAATCGAGATTATAATACTGATGAACGAAGTAATAAGATATTAAAGCATTTATTTAACTTTTGAATTTAATAATATATGATTCATAAATTAAGAAACTCTAAATAGGTAAGTAAAATTCAATAAAAGAGTAAAATAAACAAATAATTTCCTTTTTGATTATGAGAAAATTTTCGATTATGGATTATTAAATGAATTTTTAATTAAGTATAATAAAGTAATAAAATAAATAAATAAATGAAGTTTAATAAATAATAAAACATAAGGACACTACAAAAATTTTAAAAATTATGATTTACAATTACAAAAATATAACTTATTATAACTTTGTTCTTTTCCTAACCACATTATATTAATCACATATAACAATAATTTTATAAAAATTATTATTTTAATAAAATTAGTATTTAGCTATAAAATTATAACAAGTAGCTTTGTAATGTAAAAACGTATACAGAATTGTTCCAACTCATCTTTTTGTAATTACGAGTAGCAATTTTTCAAATTTTATGTACAGGTTTGTTATATTAATCCATAAAGAATGCATTTTTACAAAAAATAATCAGGAAGTATTCTATTATTCCATTATTTTATTCATGTTTGTCTCATCTTTGTTCCAATTTTCGACTGACAATGAGCGATTCATTTTTTGACTCATTGTAACTAAACAGTTATTACATTTTAATCTGTAGACTCATAACGCATGTTGGTTAAGTGTTTCACGTACAAAAACTGTTTATTAGGTTCACTTGCTTATCTGTAAGATAACTAAGATAAAGAAAAGAGAGTCCTTGTGATGCTGTTGCGTAACAAAACAAAGGACTTATAATGTCTATTTAAAGTGGAAATTCTTTTGAAATAGATACCGTCAATTTTATTTATTTATTGCTTGCTAAATATCTTTGTTATTTGTTTACTCTCCTATTTCTAGAAGATTGTTCCAATATTTATAAGTCAGAAATTCCTATCGAAACGGAAAATATCGGTATATTTATCTATACGTACCAGCAAATTTTTTTATTTCGTTACGAAATTTTGAAGATTTTTCTAAGCAGAACCCGAGATACCTGAAATTTTATTCTAGTAGAGACAGTAAAAAGACAAGTATCTGAAGATAAATAAATGATCGGTTTTCAAGTTTGAGTGAATACCGAAATAAAGTCAATATTTAATTCAGTTTTTTTTATCGGGTTTGATAAGAAAAATCAGATCAATTTTCATCATTCGATTGAAAAGAATATTATAACAAACACATTGTATAATTATAAACACGCTATATAACATTTTAAAAAATTACATTAATTATTTTATTGAATTAAAAATATGATATTAAACATTATATAAAATTAAAAATACCAATTAAATATGTTGGCATGAATTAATAAAGGTATTGCTTATTGAATCCACAGCTGATATATTCTGAGCATAAATCGTACAAATATACACGGAACTTGAAAGCATGTTTTTCCAAAACGTGGTCATAGAGAGGCCTGCCCAACACCATACCGATTGGTGGATCTGTTAATGATAATAGCATTTAGATGAGTCTACTGATCTAGGTCTTGCTGCAACAGCGATGCGTGGACAATCTTTCAAAATATTATTACAGATAACTGGTCTGTGATGCAACTAAAGTATACTGTTTTTGAACTAAAAATACGTTTCGATTTATAAAAAATGTTATCGTTACCAGATTGCAGTAGTTGTCACAATATATAATAAAGCGTCACGAAATTCTGTGAAACTAAAAAATAATACTTGCAAATAGGATGCAAAACAAATAAAGTTTAAATAATAAGTATATATAGCAAGCATTATATAGCTTTTAGTTTATCATCATTTGACAAAGATGTATTTATTAAGAAATCTTTCGAATTCTCGAATGAAATTTATTTATGTCAAATTATCAAACAAACCCTTGTGAACCGTTGCCAATTCCCAGGTCTCGCCACAATCGAAATCCTGGCTTTAAGGGTTTATTGAAAGGATTGTTTGAAATTTTGAAAAAGTCGATTTTATATATCAAAATCAGTAATATTAGAAAAGTCTAAAAGTCGATATTATATACTTATGGTCTACTTTTGTCTACTTTTGGTTCGCTTTGGGTGGATTGATCGAAAATTAAAATGAAATTTTTATAATACTATTTAGCGTTTAAATCCGAGAAAAGTTTATTTAGCGCCATTACAAACGATTTTTTTACATTATTAACAATTTCATGTTATTAACAAAAAACAACGAAATTTTTCGTAAAAATTCGATACATCAAATATAAACAGCTGTCGTTTTGTTAATTTTCAAAAATATTGATATGTTGGAACGTCAATGCCTAGAGAATACGTCGTAGTTTCGAGTCTTTCTCAATTTTTTTATGTCACTAACCCTATTTGGTTGAAATCCTGCAGACCAAAAAACCATACTGAAAAAAATTATTTTAGAATGATAACGTCACAAAACTAAATAAGGGACTTTTTTTTAAATTTAATGTTGTCTTACATAGCCTTTAATATGATGAAACTAGCCACAAAAACTTATATTAATCAAGCGATTACTTTTCCTTCGGTGATCTTTTAAAGTATCGCTAATTTTTGAGTACGTCAAAATCAGTCCTGTTTCAAACTAACCTCCTCCGCCATATAAGTCTCGCCATTAAAGCTATTATATGAATATACCGAGTAGTGATTCTACTAGGATCGTAAATGTGTGTAAAAAGAGATAGACTACGAATCACTGATCTCCCTACAGTGGGTCTTAACAAAGGAATCTTTCTCACGAGTCGTAGTGGCCCTTCTGTTGATCATGTATGCCAGAGTGACGATCACTTTTCTGTGGAACATGAGTAGAATTGTAATTGCTTCTCTGAATAGGTACATCGCGCACACAATTTATTATCTACTACTAGTTCAGAAGGGATTATTGGCAGTACACCGTATCAAAGATACTTTATCTAATTTACAAGGAGAGCGCAAGTCCTTCAGGTCATAGATTTAGTTGAAACTTTGTAGATTTAGT